ATATGTTCAATAAACTTGCAATCAGTCGAGCTGGGCTGATTTAACACCAGAATCACTGTATTTGCAGCCTGGCACCAGATGTTAGGTGTCTTTCTGCTGTGATTGGTGCCAAACGTGCCTTGACCATTTGTGTTTGAAGATACAAAAGCAGCAGTACCCAGTTTGCAGTGAAAAATAAAATCGGTGAAGTATTGGTCTGTGCAGTAAGAATATGTGTGTCCAGTATGAGCACAAGTTAAAATACGGAGTGTTCAGTGAAGTACATGACATGGTAGTGACATCAGAAAGCATATCCATTCATTGCCCCTTTGTTTGTCTGTCAGTGTGTTTTCCAGAGAGTATGGACCTGTCATGCTTAAGCTCTTACCACATTTCAAGGAATACATAGGCAATGCGACCAAATCCATTAATACAGGAAGTCAGTTTGATAACAAAATGTTCTATTTAATTGTCTGACATAAAAACTTAAAATGAAGGTCTAAACCCAAGCATATGGGTGTGATTATTTTGCTTTTATTTTCATTACATTATTGTAGCACTTCATTTCCTATTCTTGTTCTGCTAGATATGTGCAGCTTACAACCCAGACAACTCAAAGCCTTCTTTTTAAACAGGATGTGGTAGATGAGTTTGAGTCAATAAGAGGCAGGAATAACAGCAATCTTAAACACAGAAAATATCATACTCTGTTGGGTCCAGATCACTTAAACTGTTTTTTCAGGGAGAAGATTGTGCGTCTGTATTAACAAGAAGCTCTTTTGGATTTCAGGAACTTCACATGACTGGAGATTACGATGTGGTGCAGTGGACCTCTATTTCACACTTTTTGGCCTCAGCAGACCTTCTTGCTTACCATTACCAGAGCTTGGACTTGTCCTTAATCTCAAAGAAAAGAAGGCTGTACTTAATCCCACGATTATCCCTGAATCAGTTGCAAATAATCAGGAACCTGTGAATATTGCTAACAACCACGGCCAGTCAGTAGGATTTCAGAACACAGTAAGCACAAACCGTCTGTTCAGCTGGCTCTGAGTCCTTGCTCTGGTTGCTGCTTTAAGTTTGTATTCTGTTCAAGCTTCTCATGCTTTACGTCAGCTATCTTTATAACTTGTTACTTTTTATTCCTTCCACTTGAGAAGCTGGTGTGTACCCTGACTTTTTTTACATTAACTGTTTTGTATAGCATATGCAAGTTTTTTACTTTTTTTCTAGTCTCATAATTTCTTTCTTTATAAAACTTTTTGCATATTGCTTATGAGACATGAAGTGATTCGCAGAAATGTTTGATGCTGTGATAAGTTTTATTAGATTAATAATATTGCTTAAAGGCAAGTTATGCAATTTCTAAAATGAAAACCTTTTATAAGTAAATTCATTACATCTTAAAACACATAGATATAGCTCTTTTTAAGCAACTTTAAGAGATATGAAAGTTGGAACTTTAGCACATCTTTGTCGAACACTTGAATCTGATGATTTTAGTACTGTGCTCTGAAGGATTTGTAACAACTTCTGAGAAATGGCATACAATGAGTTTTTATATCTTTCTGGTTTCAAAGGCTTCAGTCCTAACACATAAACCATTATGTAGTTAGCAAATAGATCTTATAAACTATTCAGGTCATACTTTTCTTCAGAGTAACTGCCACTGCTGCAGGACTAAGTTTTTTTGTTGGACAAATTCATTTATGAGGGGGAAAAAAATCAACAGACATGAAAATAATGAGAAATTTTCTTAACTGTTTCAAAAACTACATTTGGTTGAAACTGCTTAAGAGTAAATCCTGAAAGAGAATGCAAACATGTGGTTAGCATGTTTGAAACTCTTTCCACCCTTTTGAATGGGTTGCTTACTGTTACTTTATCAATCCCATAGTTCATTTCTAAATTACTGTTATTCAGAAGTATACTGAGGATGCAAATTATCACAGTACCTTGCAGGTTATTTCTAGTAGAAGGAGAAAATGATGATGGGATCAAATACCTTTAGAGCTATCCTGTGTATTTACAGCATGTAGTAAGTCCTAATTTGCTGTGCATAAACATCAGAATTAAATAGCAGGAAACATTTTGTTGGCAGATTGTTAGGCTGTAGTTCAGTGAACATCCAAACTTTTTTAGCAAACAGACTATCTTAGTAGACAATTTCCTCTTAACTCTTCTTTTTCCTGTACTGTCCTTTCCCTTGTGCCAGCACAGGTGCTGCTGCATAGTGAGCTGGATGCTGGGAGGAATGTATGGTTCCCGCTGGGTCGGTTACCTGGTCCAGTTCATCATGCATTATATAAGTGTTTCTGGTTTCCCAGGACAGAAATGTGTGAGGAAGAGGCTGCTTTTTTTAGCAGCAGCTCTGACTTACACTAGTGTGACAATGCGGCATTAGTATAAGCCTCAATTCACACTTCATGCCTTCTCTCTGCCTCATCTCTGTTCTCCTACCCATGACTGTAAGGTTACCATTTTCATGGTAACTCCCCCAGAATTCAAGGAACTGATTTTTGTTGTAAAAAAAAAAAAAAAAATCAAACCAGTAACATAAACAAAATAATTATGCCTCTCACATCAGGAAACATCCTAAAATGTTTCACAACAGCAGTGTGTGGGGATAAATAATAGGAATGAAAAAGGAAATACTTATTTGTGGGAAAAAATAATTAACAAGTGATAGAATATATCAGATTAACTAGATTCTTTAAAGCAGACTGTATATTCTGAGAGCATAAATGTGTTACTATCAGTACTGATAGACTTGTGACACTGAATTTGTTAAGGATGCTGGAAGTTAACCACTTCATAAAATTGAATTGTTCAAAGAAAGAGTTTGTGGGGCTAGAGTGCCTGTTGTAGGATAGAGGAAGAGCAGTTCAGTGGATCACCACACACTCTTGAGAGTCTAGTTTTTAGTGGGCTTTTAATGATGTTTGCTTCTGTGGATACTTTATCTTTCCTTCTGTGTTTTGTGTATTGGACGTGTTGGAACCCCTGCCTCCCATTTTAATGACTGTACATGTAACTTGATAGACTCTCCTGCTATCTTTATATTCCTTTGACCTTGTTTCTGGTGATAATCTAAGCAGTAGTTTACAGAACAGTTCAACTCTTACTAATAGTATTGTTATGAAATCAAAATAACCTCCAAGTTATGTGCTCATTATGGTTTGTGTTCAGCAAAGTAAGCATTAGCTTTTAAAGCTAACTGAAGGATGTAGATAAATCCCATGTGTAGATCGGAGGCTATCACAGTTTCTCAGCTGTGATTTGGACTGAGGAGAGGCTGCGAGGCACACATTCATAGAAAGGCTATTCAGAGGCAGCAAATGTTGTTGCACACCAACAGTACCAGGATTGTGAGAAGGGACAGAGAAGATGCCAACACTAGATATGCAGAGGGAGCAGGGACAGCAGTGAAGAGAAACTACGTTTGTAGGAGGAGTTGGCACAAATCCATACAGGGTTTTAGAAAATACTTTTTTGCCAGTACTACAGGGAAAACTTTGTTCAAATCACCCACTTTACTCAAAAGTGTTTTCAGCTCTCAAATCTCTTTTAGGCTGAAATATGGCTCTTGCTATCTTCTAATTTTGATCTTTTAATGCTGCTTCAGGAGGATGATCATCTTATTAAGGAAACAGCATCCAGCATTTCTGGTCATCATCAGGGGGTGAAGAGGAAGGCTGATATGCCACTCGGGTCTCCATTGGAGCCAGGGCAAATACTAGAGAAGAATGAAGACAGTAAAGTCAAACTCAAAATCAGAGTAAGAAATGGAAATTCAACTTGCGCAATATGTAGGGTGTTCAGAGCGACAGCAGAGGCGTCTGCTGGCTTCCCTTAAAGCTGTGTTCAAACAAAAGACATGTTGTGTATATGTGTACAGTAGTTGTTACGCTTACTTTGGCAAAATCACCTCCCATCAGATCCTCTATTGGCTGGCAAGAACTAAAGTTGGCTGTTAATGCTCTTGTTCACACAGCTTCATGGTAAATTAGAAGACAAGACACTGACCCTTTTTAATTCTGTTAAATTTTTATTCCTTTGCAGTGGTAAATATCACTTCCTTTCCCTCTCACCCCCAGTTTACCTCAAAAATAAAATATTTTAAGTCCTATTTAGTTATATTCTTAGGAGTTATTAGCATCTGCTTATGTTCTTTTTCCTGATATCTTAGTTCTCAAACTCTCAAGAAGAGGAGGAGATTGATATGGACACAGTTCACGACAGTCAAGCCTTTATTTACCATCATTTGAATATGTTGGAAAGACCATCCACACCAGGTATGGGTAAATTTATTGGCAAAATGATAATATGAATTTCTAAACTGTTTCAGTTGTGGGTTGTTTTTTTTTGCTGCTGCTGCTTATTCTCATACATAGAGTGTTAGTGCTAAATGTTGACTGAATTCCATGAAGTGTTTAACGGGTGCATAAGAATATTCCTTTACCTTCTGATATATTTCTAGATAACTGTGTACATGTGTATTTTCGTACATATCTAAGTAAGAAAGTATGTATCATGCTTATAAAGGTGAAAAGTTAACGAATGAATAAAATAAATAAAGCTACATAGAACTCCATAAGCAATTACATAAAACTTATTTTACCGTAGTTGTAATTTAAAAAATAATAATTTTGAAGTTTAACTGGGAAAAAATCGAGACTATTCAGGTAAAAAAAATCTCTAACCTTAGTGATTTGTAACTTAACATCAGTACTTAAAAACATACAAGCCTCTAAAATGCTTAGAAGGGCTTTCCAAAGCTGAAAAGATGCATCTGAGTAAAATGGTTCCATTTCAAGTGCTTTTTTTTTCTTTTACTACTTCTATTAGTATCTTTCTCATAAAATACGTCTCAAAGAATAACGTTGCTTAAGACAAGCTGAACTTCATCCACCCTCTTTGTTTATCTGTCACTAGCAAAGAAATTAGAATCATAGACTGTTTGGGTTGGAAGGGACCTCCTAAGGTCATCTATTCCAACCCCCCTGCTAAAAGCAAGGACATCTCCAGCTAGATCAAGCTACTCAGAGCCTCATCAAGCCTGACCTTGAATGCCTCCAGGGATAGGGAACATCTGTCTGGACAGCCTATTCCAGTGATCTGTCACCCTCATATTAAAGAACTTTTTTCTAACATCTAACCTTAAATCTACCCTTTTCTAGCTTAAAGCTATTACCTCTTGTCCTGCCACTACAAACCCTTGTGAATAGTCCCTCCCCTGCTTTCTTGTAGGCCGCTCTCAGGTACTGGAAGGTCTCTATAAAGTCTCCCTGGAGCCTTCTCTTCTCCAGGCTGAACAGCCCCAACTCCCTCAGCCTGTCCTCATAGGAGAGGTATTCCAGCACTCTGATAATTTTTGTGATGCCCTCCAACAGGTTCATGTCTTTCTTGTGTTGGGAGCTCCAGAGCTGGACACAGTACTGCAGGTGAGGTCTCCCCAGGGCAGAGTAGAGCAGCAGGATCACCTCTCTCCATCTGCTGGCCACACTTCTTTTGATGCAGCCCAGGATTCAATTGGCCTTCTGGGCTGTCATTGTGTGGTGGTGGCTCATGTCCAGCTTCTCATTTACTAGTACCCCCAAGTCTTTCTTCAGCGGACTGCTTCCTAATGTGTCCTCTCCCAGCCTGTATT